ATCCAGGTTATTTTGGGGAGGTGAGAGACTGGAAGCAGGAAATCCACTTGGGTAAACAGCTTTGCAGAAATCCAGAGGAGAAATTTCAAGGACTTGACATAGGTCAATGAAACTGAAAAGGAAATGATTGTCATGAATAATGTGACAGAATAATCAATAAAGCCTGCCATGTAATTGTATATGGAATGAAAGGAAGCTGGGATATCAAAGAAGGCATTTAAGATGATATCAGTGACAGAGGCAGGTGTTAACTGCAAGTTCAGATTTGTTCAGCTCGAGTTCAGTTGATGGATTGGTTGGTGGGACAGCCAGGTAAAAATGCTTATTAAGCATATGAAATGATAAGGCATCTGCCCAAAAGAGAGGTTGGTTCCTAGACTTAAACTTGTACATTGACTGTCAGCGATTGGTGGTTACAGAATATAACAGTACCAAAGTTCAAAGAAATAAGAAAAAGGACACAAAGAACACCTCTGAAAATGCTTGTTTCAGATGATGGAAGAAGGACGAGGCAACCTGGAAAGAGCAGGGCAGTGAAAGCCAAAGGAGATTCAAGATAAAAGAGTTTTGGGGGGGCCAGCTGAGTGGTGCATTGATTAAGAGCTGGCTTGGGATGACAGCTCTGAGCAGCAGGGCCCTGGTTTGGATCCCACATGAGGGCCAGTGACACTGCGCCCTCTACAGCTAAGATGGTGAACAACAGCTGGACCTGGAGCTGGGCTGCCATGAGTTGCTGGTGACCACATAGGCTACAGCCCCTGTGGCAGTGGGCTGCCATAAGCTACCGTGTGTGGTGGGCAGCCAGCATGAGTGGCTGGCAGCTGGTGTGAGCTGCCAAGAGCTGCAGTGAGCAGCCGTCCAGTGGCCGGCGACCAATCTGCCTCACCCGGGGAGAGTGCAGTGATAATACCAACATGGGCCAGTGAAGCAACATCCTCCACAAGTAGACTGAAGAACAAAAGGACAGCAACTTGTCTGTTCCCCTTACCCGATTCCCCAATGCTGTTCCCCTACCCCAATAAAATCTTTAAAAAAAAAAAAAGAGTTTGGGCAACAGCCCTGTATGTTCAGAGAAGAGGGTGAGCAAATCTAAGGAAAGTAGGAGTGGAAACCATAGTTCCAGTGAGTGAGAAATTAATAGAAAGTGAGTAAATAGAGGCAGGTGGTTAGCATACACCACTTTTTCAAGGAATATGGCAATGAAGAGAAAGTAATCAAAGGATACTGGGGTGGCAGATAGGCTAGGGTGGGACTAGAAAAATATGTCTATAGACTGAGCTTGTGGAAAGGGGCAAATTAAAAATGCAAGAAATATATGTGCCCAGCAAAAGAAAGTCAGACTGGTCCGAGGGGAGACAAGGAGATAGGTTAGGGCTGCATGAGGAACTCTTACTCTCAGAAAAACCAAGGCACCCTTTTACTGAAAAAGCACAGACATTTTGGAGTGGAGGGAGAGAAGTTGACAACTCTTGTGCAAAGACTTTCTCAAAGAGAAATAACAGGTGAAACTTCCACTGAGTATAAAAGGTATAGAAATGGTGCTGGGTGTAGCTGTACAACTGTAGGTAATTGGTTGGGAAATGTATAAATAAAAAAGTGTGAATTAAATGATTGTCGCATGTTCCAAGGACCCAAAAAGAGAAGGCGTAAATTTTCACAACATTATGGAGCATTCTTATTCTTTCTCTGCCACTGCTCACACAGAATCCTCAGGACAGAGAATGAAGAGAACACTTTTCCCAGAATTGGAGGACTGACTGACAGATGAGATCAGCATCGTGAGGATGGAAGATTCTGGAGCTGCAGAAAAAAGCACAGTTTAAAAATGTGTGTTTTGGGGCCGGTCGAGTAGCGCGTTGGTTGGGAGCTGGCTTGAGACGCCAGAGGGCCCCGGTTCGGATCCCACATGTGAGGGCCGGTGACACTGCCCTCTGCAGCTGAGATGCTGAGCAACAGCTCGACCTGGAGCTGGGCTGCGTGGGTCACCGGCGACAGCCTAGGCTGCAGACCCTGCTGCCATGGGCTGCCGTGGGCTGCCGTGTGTGGCCAGCAGCCAGCGTGAGAGACCAGCAGCCGCCGTTAGCGGCCGTCCAGAAGCCGGGAATTGATCTGCCTTGCCCGGGAAGAGCCCAATGATGGTGCCAACTTGGGCCAGTGAAGCAACGTCCTCCACAACTAGACTGAAGAACAAAAAAAAGGACAGCAACTTGTCTGTTCCGATTCCCCAAATCCCCAATAAAAATCTTTTTAAAAAGTGTGTGTTTCAAAAGGGATGAGACTGGTCAGAAAAATAAGAGAAGCTAAAAGAAGGTTACTGGGCTGAGAAGAGAGGTTGAATTCTGAAAGCTGATGTTTGTAGCAGATTCAAAAATGAGGGAGTGGGCGTGGCAGAGGACAGCAACTGGGAACAACATGTATCACAAAAAGTTATAGCTAAAAAAAGAAAAGTATATATATCTTCAAATCAATACGTAAAAGATGAGTAGCCCAATCAAAGAATGGAAAGGATAGGTACAGGAAATCTTCAAAAGATGTACAAGTAATAAAAATTCAACTATCATAGTAATTAGGGAAATGCAAATTTTTAAAAACCAACGTATTATTGGGGCTGGCCAAGTGGCACGTTGGTTAAGAGCTGGCTTAGGACGCTAGCTCTGAGCAGCAGAGCCCCAGTTTGGATCCCACATGCGGGCCAGTGACACTGCCCTCTAGAGCTAAGAGGGTGAACAACAGCTCAACCTGGAGCTGGGCTGCCGTGAGTCGCCGGCGATGGCAATAGGCTGCAACCCCTGCTGCGGTGGGCTGCCATAAAGCTACCCTGAGTGGCTGGCAGCCAGCGTGAGCAGCTGTCCAATGGCAGGCAAGCAACTGCCTCACCCGGGAAAAACGCAACGATAATACCAACATGGGCCAGTGAAGCGACGTCCTCCACAACTAGACTGAAGAACAAAAGGACAGCAACTTGTCTGTTCCCCTCCCCCAAATCCCCAATAAAATCTTTTAAAACAAAACAAACCCAACGTATTATTTTTTGCCTATTAGCAGGACAAATATTTCAGAGATTGAAAGTTACCTATATTGGTGCTACTGTGAAAAAACAGACACTTTCATATCTATTTGCAGGGACTGTGAACCGCTATCACCTTTTTAGTGTATAATTTGGCAATACCAGCTAAAATTCTACATGGTCGTATCCTACAACCCAGCATTTATATTTTTAAAGTTTTAAGGAACTTATCCCACAAAAACATTTCCACACTTGCCCAGAGAAATATGTATAAGGATATCCATTGGCAATATTGATATAACAATAAGAAATTCAAAACAACCCAAATGCCCTCTAATAGAGAAAAGGGACCATGGGTTATCTATGAAATGGACTCAGCTACCATTAAAAGAAATGAAGTGTTGGGCTGGCTGAGTGGCTCAGTTGATTAAGAGCTTGCTCAAAGGTTTGAGCTCTGAGAAACAGCAGTTCGAGTCCGGCCCGAGCTGAGCTGCCACTGAGCTGCCAACAAGTGGCAGGATGGCTCAGCTAAAAAAATAATAATAAAATAAATAAATAAATAATTTTTAAAAAGAAATGAAGTGTCTCTATATGTATTAAAATGGAAAGATGGCCAAGATATACTGTTAAATGAAAAAAAGGCATAAAATAAGTATTATTTTATAAATAATTATTTTAATAATTATTTTATAAATTTTATAAATTTCTATAATAAATATAGAAATTAAGCTGGAGAAATTCCCCAAACCATTAACAATGTATCTCTAGAGAATGGGATTAACAGGACATTTCTATCTTTTGGTACCTATTTCTGTAACGTTTGAATGTGATATGACTTTATTTAATATTTATAATTACAAAAAAACAAAGGATATCATTTTGTTTTTTTAGGTCCATCACTAAATAAATGGTAGCTATTATAATGAGCCCAAAGCCGAGTTTTGTTTCAGGCTTTAGTTTTTCCTACTCTAGAAAGAAAGAGGTACTACCCTCACCATCCCTCAGTTCTTCCACACAATATCGTACGGTCAAGAGCAAGAGGCATTTGGAACCTGAAAATATGTTTTAGTTGCTACACTTAGTGTTATTTGGGAAAATAAAACTCTGAGGGCTGGGACTATACTTCACTCTCATTCTGTCCCCAGCACCTAGCACAGTGATTGACAGGCACATAGTAGGCACTCAGTAAATATTTATGAAATATAGCACATTTTTTCAGGACAGTTACTTTTTTTTTTTTAGGGGTGATATTTTGAGAATTTATCTACTTGAAAAAAGAAATTTTGAGTAGATAATATGCACAAGGTACATGGTAACTTGAAGCCCTGGAGTGTGTCTTACCAGAAATATTCTGTATATTTATAAGCATACACACACACGTGCACGTGCATCTTATAGAAGCTTTTTTTTAATGAACCAAATAAAATCTTACAGGAAATAGTAGTCGATTTTGCATTTGAGGTGTATAATAACTAAACATGTATAATAACTAAAGCTAAGTGAAATTGTTTTGACTTGTCTGATCTAAATGTCCTAAGTAAATTCTTTATGAGGACAAGGAGAGATTTTTAGAGCTTCACTGATCTTGTTGACAAGTGGTTCTCAAACTTGATCATACATCACCGTCACCTGGAAGGACTGGTGAAAACACAGATGCCAACACATCCCAAGTTTCTGATTCATCAAGGTTGGGATGGGGGTCCAAGAATTTGCATCTCTAACAATTTTCCAGGTGATGCTGCTAATCCAGAGAACCATTGCGTAGACCAAAATGCCCACTACTGACTCGTCTTCTACCACCCATGTGATCCTACTTAGAAGATATCACTGGAGCTATTAACCTTGGCTGCCCCAGATCTGGCAGAGTTGTGGAAATATTCTTCTACTGATCTAGGCTCCAATTTAATCTCGTGGGATCACTTTCTCACTCACTATATAGGAGTGTCTGAAACTGGATCCTGTTTTAGTTGAACTATTTATGAAGCCTCTGAGTTCAGTGTGGGAGTGGGGAAGAGAGAGAGCTCGCAACCGTCTCCTTTTGTAAGAGGGGGTTGAGGAAGAGGAAAGGCTGCCAAGAGATGTGCTTGAGTAGGCGACTGCCCTGCCCACAGCCAGCCTTGGATGTCACTCTCTCAAAAGGTAAGTAATTCCCCTATTGCCTTCCTGGTGGAGTTTTTACAGAAATAATCACCATTTCTTCTGAGTTTAATAGCACCTTTCTACAAGCTTGGGAAATACTAGGGAAATGACTGAGAGAAGTAAAGAGCTGTTTTTTCTTGGAGTCTTTTTGAAAGTGAAGCTTTCATCTGAGATCTGAGAGGGGACGGTTTAGGCATAGTATTATTTTAAGGCAAGTTGGGGGATGGGGTGAGACCACTGTTGGTGCCATTAGCTAGAGGATGTCTTTGACCTGGGGGATTATAATAAGAGAAATTTATTATTATATTTCTTCACCATCACCTCTCTCTTCAGACTAAACTTATAGCCAGGGGAGAAAAGCTGGGTATTTTTAAATTGTTTTGTTTTGTTTTGTTTAAGAAACACAAGATACTACAGATGGCGAAAATGAAGTGATTTGGGACGAGAGCACAAGGAAAGGAAGAGGTGACTGATCTTTCTAGTAAGTGTTAAGTAAAAGAGGAACTGGCTTGGCTGCAGATTTATAAATGCTGTTATTCTGTTTCCGAATTTAGCAGGATCAAATTTTACATAAACCAATAGATTGAGGCCCAACCTCCTTTTCGCTACCCTGGTCCTGAAGAGTGCTGCTGTTCATCTCAAACAAAACAGCAGCCTTCAGAACTACTTTTAAAACTTGTAGGGCAGGTCTTCTCTTTGGAAAACAGATTTTTGGATCTACCATTTTATCTGTCATTTGCATCCGTCAAGAAAAAGAGAAAATAAGAGCCAAGAACATACATGGCATACTTGAAACCAAAACAACATTAGCCTTTTCCTTTTCTTTATTCAGTCAGAACGTACTTTACACTTTAAGGGAGAGCGAGGAGAGAGATCAACCTAACTAACAGGAGCCAAATTAGCTTAGTGGAAGTTGGCAGCTATGAGTGAGATATTTGAATAAGTAAACTGGAGACCTTTGATTCAAAGTTCAGGAATTCAGATTCAATTAGATAAGGAGAAGGAGAATCAAGACAACTTGATGTTTTCCAATTTCCAGATATTGAGAGTTTTTCATCTCTCGGCAGCAAAGGAGGCTGTTGGCAAACCCCATTCTCTTTTACTTTTTTTTTTTTTTAATTGGTGAACAGTGTGTTTCTCCAGGACTCATCGGCTCCAAGTCAAGTAGTTGTTTTCAATCTATTGGGTTGTCGGAAAAGTCGTGACGTATTTTTTCTGTTTTTTTTTTGTTGCAAAAATGCGTCATGACTTTTCCAACAACCCAATAGTTGTGGAGAGCGCATCTCAGTAGTCCATGTGGGGATCGAACCAGCAACCTTGGTGTTATAGAGCATTGCACTCTAACCACCTGAGCTAGCCGGCCGCCCCACAAACCCCATTCTTGAAATTCTCTCATTTCTCCAAGTTTATGACTCTACGCTCTGCAGGTTTTCCTACTTGTAGTTATTCTATCTGTGCTTCCTTGACCTCTTTTCCACCACCAGAAACGCAAACGCTCCCTTGCTTCTAATTCTCCTTTGGCCATCTCATCTACTCCTGTGATTTCCATTCTCCTACCCGTGGGTGACTCTTGGTTCTAAAGATCTTGCTCTTCTTTTCTCCTAAACTTCAGTCCCCTATTTCTGCCTCCTGAGCATGCCACACCTTTACATTCAACCTCCCCCAAACTGAATTCATCATCGCCCCTTAAAATATCTGCTAATCCTAAACTAAATAATTCTACGAATGGCAACGTTTTTTTCTTTCAGCCATCCAAATTCAAGGCCCAGAGTTCCCTTTATCACTTCCTGCTTCCTCCCACGATATGTTCAGTTAATTTTTGTGTTTTTTTTTTGTTTTTTTTTTAGCTGAGCCATCCTGCTACCTGTTGGCAGCTCAGTGGCTGCTCAGCTTGGGCCAGGACTCGAACCGCTGTTGCTCAGAGCTCAAACTCTTGAGCGAGCTCTTAACCAACTGAGCCATTCGGCCGGCCCTTATGTTCAGTTAATTGATAAACCCTGTCAAATCCTCTTTCACCCTCTCACAGCCATTCCTTCCTTTTTGTTACTCACTCTGTTATCCGAGTTTATGCCGTTGTTACCTCTTGCTGAGAGTGCTATAATACAGCTCCTTCTCGTTGTTTTTCATGGTATGGTGTCTGTTATTTCCTGTCCCCAATACCTTTTACAAACTGTTATCGGCAACCTTCCTCAAGTATGGCTTTATTTACCATGCTTCATTCAATAAGCATAAGTTGTATATGTACAGTGTGCCAGGCTCTGATAGAGATATTAATTCATTCATGTAGGTATAACAGCCCTGCCCTAAGCCCCCTGTAGCTATGCCATGAATGGGACAGATGCAGGCCTAACCCTTAAAGCTTACATTCCAGTTAGAGACAGTGGGATACACAGCAAGATATGGCCCCTGCTCTCAAGCATTCATCTGCTCAGAATCCTTCAGTGGTTCCCTATGCTTGAAAGAATAAAATCCAAATTCTTTCAAGGCTGACCTTCAAGGCTCATTATGGTCTCATCTCAAGCAATAAAAGTATATCTGGATGTATAATCTTGAGTTTGCATGGGTCGTATATTCTGTATTGGGCACCACATTTTAAAAGGGATATAGACACACTAGAATTTCTTCAGCGGGAAAAGACGAGAGTGATAGACCATATCCTCTGAGATATGATTAAAGGAAGAAATGAGTGAAGAAATGAGTCAACAAGTGCTTGATAGCTATCTTCAAATCCTAACAATCTTGTATATGGACAAGATGTGTGTTACCCTATATGGTCCTAAGTTAAAAGTGGAGCACAGCCAAGGAGACAGATTTGGCTTAATGTAAAGAATACTTTTCGGGCCACCCGAGTGGCGCGATGGTTAAGAACTCGCTTGGGATGCCAGGGGGCCCCGGTTCGGATCCCACATATGAGGGCCAGTGAACACTGCCCTCCACAGCTAAGATGCTGAACAACAGCTCAACCTGGAGCTGGGCTGCC